AACCAAGTTGGCTGTCGACGGGAAACAGAAAATCCATCACCAGCGCGATTGTGGCGCACCTCGCAGACACTGGACATCACGTAAACGACAACGCGTTCAAAATAGTCTACAGAGTCCCTACGAATGCGCCGAAAGCCGCTCAAAAACAACATCTAGCAACGGCAGAGGCTGTGGCGATCAGATTATTCAATCCATCGCTTTGTTCTCAGAAACGTTTCGTTAAAGCACTCAAACTACCCTGGCCGCGATCCGAGACCGACCCTGGAGCTCAGTGTGACCCATACGTTGACCCTTTGGTTCAAACCGGAAATGGATAATTTCCAAAACCCTTGTTCATTGTTTCACGGGCCCCTTTCCCAACCACGAAACAACAACATTTCCCCTCCTATCCTTCCTAACTACGCAACACCAACTTTGATGACCATCCAATCAAACTTTAGCACACAGACCTTGTTCATAATTTATGCATTTCTAACCTATAAATGTAACTGTATTAGCCACGAGGATGATGTTACCGAAAACGAGCTTGTTCGCTATTCGTGTTTTCTATATATATATATATATATACATATATATATATATATATATATATATATATATATATATATATATATATATATATATATATATCTGTCTCACAATTACTTGCAAGCAGTTTCTGGTACATCGTCCCACTCCTGTGGAGAAGACCCGGCTTGATGAGAGACGTTCGCTTGGAGTTAACGGGACAGTGACCGTATCTCCCTTCGAAGCTGTCGGGTATTGTTGTTTGTCATAGAAGACGATATCTGAACAAACTTAACTCGCTGATTCGGATCACCCCGAACGGAAGCAGTGGCAGCCTCGCCTTCCGAGTGAAAAGGCTCGAGTTCAAACCCTGGGTACGGCGGAGGGTACGTACCACTGAGGAGTTCTAACACGATCAAAAGTCGAGTCTGATGGTTCCGAGTGTAAGATTGATCGGATGACCTAATTTTTGTGTATGAAAGATGGAATGCAAAAGATGGCCAGCTTAGCAAAGTATCATCAATCCACACGCTACTTACGAGTAGCTGCGAGATGTATGCATAAATTAAGCGCCACCCACGGAAAAAAGTGACCAGTCTGTCAGTATTTGACGTCGAGTTACGTGACGAAGTACAGTGGATGATTTTGGTCATGTGATAAGGTGTGGCTTAAGATCGGGACCGTGAAGGAAACTCTTACTGCTTTCAGCGATTATGACTCACTGAGCTAGAGACTGAATGAGAAAGTTTATGACTTGGGATGACAGTGTCATCACAAACCAAACGAGCAGCACTGAGGATCAGCAAATAGAAAGCACGGCGGACAGAGCACTGATACGGGTGAAAGCTGCATCAGCAGTGACGTTCAATGAATGTTCGTTGAAGCCAATAGGTCTGTGAACGAGTTACTGGAAACAAGCGATGTTGAGAAAAAAACATGAACGCGGGAGGGATACACTGCCTCGATCCACTTGATGCAGGTACTTGAATCAAAGGCGAAGCTTAGATTAGGTCTCAGTAACAAACTGAGTATACCTTCCTATGTCTGTAATATAAGAATGTGTGAGGACATTGGCGGCAAAACTAAGCCTGATTTGGTGTGGGAATTTCGACAGAAAAAACAGAGAATTGTGAATGAAATAGTGAAAGCCGGTCGTTTGGAGCAGTTCGGTCATAGGTAATTCAGAATGTTAAATATAAATCATGTTTAAGCCAAAGTAGCCGAACAGAGCGGACTGGCCGGCCGGGACGCGAGTACACAGTTAGGACAATCTAAACTATGATTGGAAATTCTGTTCTATCAGAGATGGTGGTAAGGAATCACGCCGAGTCGTGGTCACCGTTGATCATGGTGGACTGTAGACCCTTCTGTTCCGTGTTTGTATCCTACCACCGCCATCGGTCACTTATCCCAAACTGGCAGCCTCGAGCCCACTCCGATCCCCTTTCTGATATATTTTACCAATAATATGTAATAAAAATACAGTAAACGGAAGAAAGTTAGCTGCGTGAAATGGGACCCGCCACAGACCGAACAAAGGTGTTGTCTGACCCAAAGATCATTGTAAAGGCACGTGGGTCACAGCGTTGGATGAAGTGTATGTATGTGTATAGGTATGTTAAGTGAAGTGATCGGATAACTCATCATTGACTCACAAACACAGAGGATCATCATGTGAAAGTATTGGCAGACACGTCATCTATAGACGGCCTGGTTCAGTTAGCAGACAGCATACTATAACCTGTCCGGAATCGTAGATAAGGTTGGAGACGGTCAATCGGATCAGTGGACCAACGACCGGCTAACGTTTGTCTGAACCGACCAGAGCCTAATCAACCAATCCCTATGCAACCAGACAAACAAACCAGATGGGCCGTCTAGGAGTATCAGTAGACCAGTAAACTTTCATGTGAGGTTTTTGTTATGATCGGCACACATCTTATATGTGCGATCTCCTGTAGACCAGTAAACCGAGATAATTGGTATCCAGATGAGCCTTCTCACTAGAACTAGTGTGGTGAGTGTATATACTACTTGGTAAGTAGTTGATTGCTGAAAACGGAACTATCGTCAGTCGTGGATTACCAACGCCTCTATGCCCAAGAGACTGAACGCAATAAGGTGAACAAACCAGGCGAACCACACGACTGCTTCTCCGTCGGATGGTGACTGTCTTCAAGTGAAGGGGACAGCGACTTTGCAAACAAGCATGTTTGTAACGTTTGGTTTGTTTTGTCGATGTCCGAACAAGCTATTTGCAATAAGCAACCTATTACCCAGGCACGTCTTGTGGATCATAACACTAGTGGGCTTCTTCAGAACAAATCTTAAGCTCATTACGCGCAGACCGGGATAAAATAGATCAAAGATTTCGGCAGATAGATTTAGCGGATTCATCAGTGTATATTCTTCACAATAGACATCAACTAGTGTGCGAAAAACCGCGCACTCAAAAATATTTACAGAATCCGTTCATTTACTACCTTTACGATCTATGAAATTTAATTAGGTCCCACCGATAATATACTAATGTAATATGGTCCGTTTCCAAGGCTGGTTGACAGAGAGCGGATGCTGCGTGTCAATGCAATGTAATTGTGCCGAAAATCGTAACCTGAAAGAAAAAGCGCTACATCCCTAAAGTTGCAGCATATAGTGTGCGCCAACCGCACTTCAGTGTCACTGAACCCCTTGTTTGGATACACTTGGTTCTGTACAGTTAACCAGTGTTGTCTCTGGAAATTACACTCTAACGAATAAACGCGGAGAGAAACAATCTTTCAGTTGAAATCGTCCACTAAATAGACGTGGGACTGAAGTACCTGGAGATGCTTCGCACGCTGGAAGAAATCATTGCACATTACATGTCACTCATTACCCGACAACTTCAGCCAGCTCTCAGCCTAAAGGATTTTTTCCCGTACACTCACCGTTTGCTCCACTGAGTGCTTGGAGCTAATGATTGAACGGAAAAATTGGGCTGAAAATCCAACCACCAGAGAAGACAGCAGAAAACAAACAATCAGTTCTCACATGACAGATCAGGAGGAGCTCCTATGGGGATTCTTCGATTACGTTACCGTGCTGGATTAATGCCACGCCGCTGACCCACTTATTTTGGTTAGGTATTCTGAAGACAAAAGGATGTTTTAATCCACTGAATAATCGTCTTATTGCATTATGGCGAAGAAGTTGAAACCCCTCCTTTTCGCAGTTGATGCTCTCATGACAAGGACATTGGTTATGGTTCCCGGTGAAATATTCCTACTTTATGGCAGCCGCGAAGCATGACGTACACAGAAATCTGTTGTGACCCCTCGGAGATCATTTATTTTTCTGCTTCCCGATCTTTATATTAAAATTTTAAATGAATCCAAGGATTCACATTTGACCGTGAACAATAAATTATGACTCCTGATAGGATTGCAAATTTGAAGATAGAAAAAAATAAACAATAAATTCTGAAACCCAACCGTTCTCTTTAATGATCTGTTTTCAGGGTTTCCGCATTCAAGCATAAGATGACAAGCGATGAGTGTACCCTTCTGGACTGATTGCCGAAACAGAAAACGAGAGCTCATTTCACACGTGGCAAAACATAAGGAACCCATACACAGATGTTTCGGTCACGTTGCCACACTGCCCTATGAGTCAGACTGCTGAGTCCAAGATATTAGAAAAGGATGGCAGAGTAGCATTAATTTGTTTTGTGATCAGTCGCGTTGAAACCTTCGCTCTCAAATCTCCGACATGTGTTTCATAGAAAGGTTATCTTATTTCCTTCTCCCTAGTTATATATCCATTCATGACGCCCTTTTACTCTCGGTAACCAGTTTGCTTTGGCCCCATGGATATACTAGACCAGTCAGTGGGACTAGGTCTCCAGTTGGTGTCATTCTGTCTCCGCTATGTTTTCCAGTGAAGGTAATTGTTAGCGCTACTCAACTTTGTTCGTATCCGATCTACGGCCCTTGGAAAACAAACGGACTCCATAACCTCTAAATTTTTTCGAACCTTCCAGGTGGCTTTTAAAAAGTTCGTTTTTCATCAGATCCAGTTTAGTAAAATTTCACTTATCTGGTGTCGAAATTTAAGTTTACAACGGCATGGTCAAAGGCGGGGGCCACTGCATCACCACGTAGGCTCAGAAACTAGTCATGTTCGGTCGTAAGAAGTTGTCAGGATCCTAAACGCGTTTCGAATAAGCATCGTACCAATGACTTGGGTCTTGGTGATGTGTTCTCTTAGACTATTAGCATTCGTTTATATGTGCTGAGAGTATCAGGCTTTGTTAGAACGTGCAGCTTATTTGTTAAACCACACTCTGATGGAATAATCTTCGCTTCCATTCTTTTCTTCTACATTAGAGGGATCATAAGTCATCGTTGTTGCCGAATGAAGTGCAACCACACAACTCAAGTTGGTTCTTTTGTTAACTGATCAAATGTTTCGTAAAAGTATGAGTAGCCGCTGTATGCTTATTTTTCACGCAGATTGGCACAGACTTGATTCGAGGAGTCTCTGGAGGTGAACGAAAACGGACGAATATCGGGATGGAGCTGATCACCGATCCATCTGTTTTATTCCTTGATGAACCAACCACAGGATTGGATGCGTTTATGGCCGGCCAGGTGGTGAAAACTTTGAAAACGCAAGTTTCTTGTTCACGATTTATATAAATTCAAATTTGTTACTCTTCGACACACGTCGCAGTTGGTTCGTAATTTGGGCATTCAGTAAGAAGAAGATCGTTCTCCCTTGCTGGTTCTCTAAAAACAGTCTTCCGATCAAAGGCTTTAGAAATGTAGTTGGTATTTCATTGTAAAAACGAAAAGCATTTCGCTTTTTTGTTGTTTTACTCTCTGCTCGTCTCGAATCACAGCTGTTTGTTTTATTACCTTGCAGCCTGTCGCGCCGAGGAAGAACTATCATATTTTCAATCCACCAGCCTAAGTATTCGATCTACAAATTGTTCGACTCACTCACTTTGGTCTATCGGGGACGTTTGGTGTACCACGGCCCGGCTAGACATCATCCCATCAGATATTTTATTAATCTAGGTAAGTGCTCGTTTTTGTAATCCTGTGGACCGCGGCATCAAGAATTACTTATGGTTGCGCAGCCCCGTGTGATTTAATTCCTTCACATGTTGATGACCCTAGTTTTCACGATCACATCGATATAGCCTCCATTACACAGCACCCAGGTGTGGATGTTGCGATCCTAGATCTTAGATTCACTCGTTGACAAAACAATAGTTCCATAGACAATATGAACCCGAAGTTTGCTTCAAATAGCTGTTCTTTCTAATCAGGGGTCATCGTAATCTTAAAAATCCTTATGCAATTAGTGACAAGTTTCTGTCGCGTATGAAGCTTTTTGATAATGGGCTTTTGTAAAATATTGCAAACTTGACTGTGGCAAACAGTGACACACAATCAGGCCGATCACTGTTGTCTCTCTGCCGAAAGTTAAACAGCCATGCACACTAGGATTAACTCTTCTCCTAACCGTTCGCAAAGATTGCGTTTTGCGACTGGCCCAGATATGAATCAATAAAATCCGATTTCATTAACCGCAGGCTACCGGAGGTCCTGAGAAAAATAACCGTGACAAACTTTGGAGAATATCTTCATACTACATTTTGATTTTGATTCACGCACGCATCTTCGGAGCTTCGAACTGTTAGTGACGCCATCCATTCCAAAGGTAATCACTGAGATGGATAACATCGGTTTAACGTGTTATCTGCCAACTACCGTTTCACTTACTCAGTCGTGAAATGTATTCTGCATCACATACCAGATGCCAGATACCAGAGTACAAAATGTTAATTTGCCCAGGTAAATAGTGAACCGTGTACAAACCATCTAACATCCATTCGACAAGGTATTGCACGCTTGTAGGTTTTTCTCCGAAGAACTGACTTTTGGCAAGTCTTTATTGGTGATAATGTTACATCGTATAGTTCGTAATGTACCTCTTCTACTCCAGATCTATCCCCTACATCTTGAGCTATCTTCGGAAGTACCTAAGTGCTTTCTGTCAGGCTGTTTCTGCTCATTCTAATATCCAGAAGTTTTGTAAAACCTATCCAGCGTCTCTACCTTCTAACTAAATTTAAACCTGATCAAATGTTCGTAGGATGTACTATTAGCACGAGGAGTCTGGATCTTAGGTGTTCGAAAATTCACTTGCATTTTTCGCATCCACAAGTCCTACGCCGCGAGCAGAAATCAAACCGCCGACCTGTCGCTTACCGGGCAGATTCTCTACCAGCTGCACCAATATTACATTCTATGAATATATTTCAGTGCCCATTGTATCGAGTTCAGCTGTGTGATATTCGTCCCATTTAAAGATAACTGACGAAACTAGTCCAGTGATTCAAACTAGAACTGTTGCTGTGTATCACCGGAACAGTGGCTGCGCACCACTGGATATTCGTTTGCGTTATTCACACTAATCTGGTAGAGCGACTGTCCGGTAAGTGCTTCGATTGAGAGATGAAGAGTTTAATTTTTACTAAAATGAAGGTGCTCAGTTTCCAAAGTTATTGAATAAATACAAAGTATAAGTTGTTTAAAAAACAAGTCCATGTAGAGTTGAAAGGCATGGAACAACACGATTATGTGTTGTCATTGACATTTTTCTTTTTTCTGATTATGATATCTTAGTTTTTATCGACCAGAAGATTATGATTTTCACTGATTGGTCGGTGAACAAGATCATGACTTCTGTCTTTGAATTTCAGGCTTAGGATTCTTGAATGGCTCTAATAATAGGTGGAACTGATGTATCCGTGAAACATGACCCCACTTTTTCTGACCTCCTTTTCTTATTTATAAAGTAGTGAAATATTAAACCATTAGTCAGGAATCGTTCATTATTAAAATTGTATTTGCTTCACTTTTGAGATATGTGACTCATTGCTGGCATTATGCAGATTCTGAAAGGGAATACTCGTTGTAATTAGTATGTTATTGTATTTGAATGATAGGACAAAACTTTTCCGGAAGCACACGACCGGTTTCGAGGCTGTTGCCGCTCATCAGATATACGTACCCGTACTCTCCTGACCAATCATCCTCATACTTGACCACTTCACACTAGGTTCATCACCTTAATAACATTTGAATCGTGAGGAGCATGCATGGACTAAGAGCCCATTTATACACAATCACAAGGTGATTGGGCAGGAGAGTACCGGGTACGCATACGTGATGAGTGGCAGCAACCGCGAAACCAGCCGTGTTCTTCCGGGAAAATTTTGTCCTGTGATCCAAATACAATGGCATACTGCTTACATCAAAAATTGAAACTTGGGACCATGTGTCATCGTTCTTAAGGTTGTCTTCAACTAACCGATGAGATAACGTTTGAAAAATTACTTTGTAATTGTAAAATGGACTCTTCGCTCATGCACGCTCCTCACGACTCAAATGGGAATACTCGTTCTTTCCATAAACATGTTTCCTACTACTCGTCGGTGATACTGAAAAATCTTATTTTTGGTTGTTCTCTGTTTTAGTCAGATGAACAACCACGTTCCTGAAAGATTCGTATGTGGACCTGTAACCAGTACTTAAAACAAATGGTAGGGAAAACAGCACAAAAACGGCCAACACGGGAAGTAGACGGTCCTACCGCCACCCGGGCTCGTACCACCGCCTTATTTGGTTTGACGTTCGAAGTCCTATGGTCTGGTTTTCGATTATACCTAATAGTGTAATGAGCTTTTGAAAATATAGGGTCTACCCCTTTGAGTGCACTCATGCGCACGCATATAATGAAAATGTATGCACTACAGGAAGAATGACCGCACTTACCAACAATCATGGTTTGAACTACAATACTACTTTTGTACACCGTTTCCACCGATCTCCTCCCTTTGAATTATTTCTGATTGAAACGCGAATCTCTTCCTCGTCAGAAACTACCCGTCTCCAACTACTTCTCCCATTCCTTGATTTCATCCAAGGCTGATGTCTGCGCCTACACCCATCAGTGTTTCGCTACCTCCCGTACAACACAATTGAGCTCAACCAACCACGGGCTCCAGCTGAGACTCCATTTCCCCTCTTTTACCCGTTATTTTGTACCGTTTATCGCCCTCCAAACAATAGCAACTCCTCATATTTTGATATTTTGTCTTCTAGCATTGAGAATTTTGCGCCAGGCTCTAATTGCCAAGTTACCAATCTTGGTGACTTTGATGTTTGCAATAATGATTGACTTTTACACTCTTCAGTCTCATCGTCTGTGGGATTCGAAGCTTTCTCCTTGGTCAGCATGCCAGTTAACTCATTGAATTCCTCACACGCATTCCCGATCAGTATGGCGATCTTGCTCGTGCCCTCGATCTCCCCACTTTTGTTACACCTTTGATCTATGATATTACCTCCTTTCCTCCAGTTGGCTCATCAAAACACTTTCTTGTCTCCTTTTCCATCACCTTCACCCACCCAGTTCCTTCTTGAAAGTCTAATCGCATCTCATAGATTGAAAATTCAGCCAACTGGGATGATTTTCGTGAATTTCTGGCTTCCTACCCCTGGAGTGACTGTTGCTCTTCTCTTGGTGTTTCGACTTCCGTTTCAAACCTTAGTGGGACTGTTCTCTGGGCACGCTTTCTTTTAGGTTCACAATTTTCCAAATCCCCTGAGTGATTTAACCGCATGTGCATGTGCGCTTGAAGAACCCAGGGTTCAAACGGTGATGCCGCTTCTCTACTCTTCTCTCTCGCAGTCCTTTGTGCACACCAGAAACAAATGATCGCTTTCAATTCCGAAAGCCACAAACCGTCTTTTCCGCTGCAAAGTCAAACGTCTAGCCTCTTCTGCTACTATTAGCCGAGCATTTCCGTCTCTCGTCGTTTCCCGATGTTTTCCTCTCTTCAGTTTGTCCTTTTTCTGTATCTCCTGCTCTTGTCTTTGAACCCCATGAGAAAACTGAGGTTTTTATTTCCCAGTTTGCCTCTAATTCCACTTTATCTAACCTTTGCGCACCCCGTTCACTTTCGCTAGGTGCTCCTTTATCCTCATATCACAGCCAAAAGGGTTCGACGGACCACAAAATTACTCGACTAAAACAAATCACTTGCTCCGGGCGGTATTTCACCCATCTTCCTGAAGTTGTGTGCTCCGAAGCTGACACCAATTTGCGTTGTTTTCTTTTCTGTCCAATCTATTACTTTTCCTGTTCCATGAAAAGTGGCCGTGATTTATCCTATTTTCAAATGCGGCAACTCTTTCGACCCCAACAACTACTTCCCCATTTCTATGACTTCTGCCATTTAGAAATTTATGGAGACGAACGTTTTTGACCAGTTACGACCGTTCCTTGAACACGTGGAATCGATACGTGATCGTCAATGCGGAAAACGGCCTTGACGATCCACGTGTGATCTGCTGGCTCTGGTCTCACGCTGGTGGTCACTAGATATTTCGAAGGCTCTCGACCGCGACTGCTGCGCGAATGTACCTTGTAAACTGCCTGCTTTTGCATTTCTTCCGTCCCTTGTTTTACAGACATCCAGTTTACTCGGCAACCAGACCAACTCCGTCCAAATCTGTTTGATACGATCACGACCTTTCTCCGTGAATGCTTGTCCTCCAAGGTTCTGCACTCTTACTCACCCTATTTCTGCTTTTTATAAATGAACTCTTACTCAACACTGTCATCTCCGCTCACGCTTTTGTCGATGATGCCACTCTGCACCACTCTCTTCCATATTCCACCTTCTACCATACCATCACAAACATTGATCGCAACCAATATGCTTTTGTTACAATGCTCACGTATGACCTTGGACAGATCTCCACTTGGGGGTCCGAAAATTATGCTCTCTTCAATGCTTCCCAAAGATTCCTTTGCCCGATCTCTTTCAAACACCATTCCTTTTCTCGCCATTTAGATTTTAATTCGGTTCCCCTTCGTTTCACAAACTCGATACCTCTACTGGATCTTTTGATAGTCTCCACTTTATCTTGGCCTCCGTACATAAGTTCTCCTGCTTCTCGCACCGCGCGAAAGGCTGCTTTCCTATTCCGCACCAGTCGTTTCTTCAAACCTGCCCACCTCGTCTCACTTTGCAAGGCTCAAATTTGTCTCTCATTTGAATACTACAGTCACATGTGGAGAAAGGTTCCGTATTCATCTTTATCCTCTTCTCGACAGGATCCAGCGTCAAAGCAATCGTCGGGTAGATGACCCAGCTTTAATATCCAGCTTACAGTCGCTTCATTGTTTCTATCCTGCCGCCGTTATTTTGGTTTTTGTTCTTCCGAGCTTGCTTCAGTCGTTTCCATTCCCGTTATTTTCAGTGCCGATCGCGAGCACAGATGGCCAATTATCCTTAACAGGTTTCTGTCCTTAGACGTCGAACCTCAACCGGTAAATCTTCTTTTTAATAGTAGGATCAACACGCTGGTTTTATTCGAACATTTCCCACGCACTACTCTCACAGTGTTTTCACTTCGTGTGTAATGAAAAAAGGAAGATGTAATGTGCCACTTGTAACATTGTCGTATTTCAAGTACATTGTGGTTGTTTTCCGATGCCATTCATTCGTATTTAATCATCGATGAAGATCAAACGACAGAGTTAGAGAATTAAAGCCCTTCGTCCTGCAGCGAAGAGGCGAACCGGGTAAGACACTGGGATTTTCTCAACTGGGAAATTGAAAATGGTATGCCATATGCACCCTTTCAGGTAAATATTTTCGTGCCCGCACTTAACCAGGAATAATCCTCTGGCTACTTGTGCATTTCGGCTCCTTTCAGCCCTGCGCGTCTTCTCATTCGCACCAGCTCTGTTTGGACCATCTTGCAGCCTGCCGTTATGATCCAGTTTAGAACAATCGTGACCGGATAGAAATTTCTTGTCGTTCGGCCCCATTTCCTTTTTATACCTTCAAGTATTTATCTTCCCCATGCTTTCAGGTTACGAGTGCGAAAATCACAACAATCCTCCAGATTTCTTTATGGATATTTTGCATGGTGAGGCCCCGCAACGTGCGATGGATGGTGTAGGTACGTATTTGATCTTTCACCTTGCTTTTCTTGCGAATACCAACTGATGCGAATTAAACTCACTAATTTATGATCCATGAATTCCAACATTTCTTTTTTCGAGCCGAAATTCGTCTTCATGTTAGTGTGCTTTCTTTTGAAGGTTGTTTTGTTTCCTTCCCAAGTTAGCTTAAGGTGACTTCTGATATTTGAATGGTAAATTCGATTTGATTATCAAATAGTTCATCATGCTGTAGCGTAGCTTTATTCACCATTTGATATCATCGACTGCCGTTTCATCTTCATTGAGACTCACCAGCAGTGTACATCCATGGAACGTCTTTCCGTCATTGGATTTACAGACTTAAGAACCCACATAATATCGTGTAGTGGCGAAGTTAAGTAAACCATTGAGAGCCAGCCAGAATAGCCCGGTTGTTAGGTGTTCGATTCACAATCGTCCTCTCTAAGGTTCTAGTCCCATTGAGAGCTCGATGGATGAATAATACTTATGTTTCCTCATTGGGATGAAACAGGTGTACAGTGTTCGTGGTTTTTAGTGGTGGTTTGAGCTTTTTTGCTGCATGGTGAATCATTTGATGACTCCTGATAAGCAAGAAGTTATTTACGGCTGCTAGCTCGAATAATTAATTAAAAACTGCTAGGTTGATGTCACCTGAGGCAGTTTTATGAGAAATTCTATGATTGGCTGCCTGAAAATCACAAAAGGTCTCTGGTATGCGTCGTTAGATTCACCATTATGCCTACTCTCGTTAGAAGTGCAGTGGTCCCTCTTAATTTCAGATCTCGCGTTTCCTTTTCCCTTCCATTGGATTCCCAGGTGTTTCTAGAAGAGTTTAATGCACGTGTCAATCTATCCTAACTTAATCACGCAAGAACTTCTTATATGAATGAAAATGACTGTTTTCTCCAAATCTCTGTAGTATGACAAATGTCTTGCATCGTTTGGTGTTCGCAAATCACCCCAATTGCCTATGCTCTGACCATTGTTGTCACACTGACGGAAGCGGGCATTGTTATTAAATTCCGAACCAACTAAGCGAATGTCCCGTCGAGATTCTCAATAGAAAAAAGGAATATATATTTGGTTTCTTTTATTTTATTATAGCAAACATTTCCTTTACATCTCCCGGTAAACGTTTCAGTTTGGAGAACAATGACATCAGGAAGTTCTGCCTAAATGTTATGAATGAAACTCGTGGTTGACATTCATCACCCAAGCGGATTTATTCTTATTTTGGCAGTTAACAGTCTAAAAGTGCTTTCATTTTTTTATAGGAAGTACGCAAAATTTCAGTGCATAAGGCGGATGTCGTCAGAAGGTTTACGACCCAAAGTAGTGAACACAAATGGAAAGAGGATTATTTTTCATTGTGCCTTACAAACCTTAAAATGTACATCATTTTTAGAGTCCTCCCAAGTTTCATGTGTCATGTATTTTGCTTCAGGTAACCGCTGCTAATTCATTAGCACAATGCAGTAATTCGTCATAGAACAGTGCCAATATCACACACAGTTCTAGAAATCCGAAGAACTTTTATCTTCTGCGAGCAATACTTCACATCACATATTCTTTCAATCTCATAAAAATACTGAACAACAAGCTACTTCGCATGCATAGGACAAGCAAATGCAGTACTTAAGATTTATGTACTTATTTCAGTTTTTTTAAATTGCTCTAATTCTGCCACAATGTTCGGTTGAATGTACTGCCTGTGGAATCGACTGTAGGGGATTTCAGTCGATTTATCCGTGACTGACTACGGATGCTTTACCACATTCAATAATCCTTTTGGAGTTTCTTCAAACGTTCACGTCGTTCTTGTCACCTGATCAACGCACTCCACGCATTGCTCCGCTCGTCTTTCTTAGGTAGACTTGACAACGTGTTGACGAGTAACAAACAAATGGTTTCAGTGCGCGTTTGGATAAAACTAGCGTCCGTGAAACGTTCTGTGTTGATCTGCGAAGCCCATGAATAAAGTAGAGTTGAAGGCGTATTCTAGTAGCGTGCAAATCACTTTCTGGTGAATGTGCTTAACAGAGGGAGTCATGTTTATTACCGAAGTCTTCATGGAAATGAATTTGTTCTATGTAAACCAACTTTTGCACTATTTAAACTTAAAGCTGTGACACAAATGTGTAAACCCATTGAAAGAAATTCGAAATTAATGATATTTACGAGTCTTTTGCAGACTAAGGATATATACTTCAGCGGCAATATATATATATATATATATATATATATATATATATATATATATATAATGTCTAGCCTCATCCTAAGGGCATTTAGTCACCGTCTCCCAGAGGTTCCCAAAAGACTCGAATGAACCACACAATTAGCCACCAGCTGGACCAACGCTGCCATTTTGAGGGACGTGCTTAGCTGCGCGAAGGCTAGAGATGCATCCTCGAATAAAATTGCCTACTCTGAACCGTGCGACCGAGTAGTGTCATAGTCCACAACGCTAACAGCAATGCAACCGATGGTATTCTTACCAGATGTTCGTTATGCTCTTCGGAGACATGCTCGCATTGACGCTCTTCCACCATACGCACGTTGATTATTGGAATCCCGTAGCTCATCGCCCTCCCACACGCACATTTTCGTATTCTCCGGGAACTGCAGTCGACCGTACTCGCGGTAGTGTCTCTGAGGGAAGTGCTGTTCCTGTTCTCCCCCTTCCTCCTTCGTCTAGTATCCAAGTCTCACCAAATCCGCTTTTGCCAGCTGTTGCTCTCCTTCGCCCCAGGCGTTTTTTTAAATTGGCCACATTTAATGTGCGAAACGCTAATACGTACATGATAACAGACGTGTTTAGCTCGTACGCTGGAGAACCTTGCCATCGACGTGTTTTGTATCCAAGAGACTCGAACACCCAAGACTCCAGCTCGGTCATTCAATTGATGCCCCCATCACTCGCGTTTGTCTGGGGACCCTGGGGCTGCGGCTAGTGGTCTTGCTAGCAGTGGCGTAGCTCTCAGTGAGAGGGCTAAGGCTGCGCTACTTGGCTGGATTCCACTTGAAGGTTGGCTGTGCGCAGTGTGACTTAGAGGTTCGTGCAGAATAAGCTAACAAAGTCCCGATTGACGCAATTTGTTTGTACTCTCGGCTTATGCCCCTTCAGATTGCAGCCCAGATGCAATCAAATTTACCCCACCTCCTACGTAGAGCAAACCGGGTTGATATCGTGATTTTGGCTGGAGACATGGTTGCTACGGTTGGTCCGCTGTCTTTGAACAAGGAGCATTTGGAATGACCTTTTGGATTTGATTCCTGTCGTTCAGAAAATGAAGAACGGTTGTTGGCTCTGTGTCCGGATCACCACTTGTTTCTCGCCCATACGAACTTCGGGCATTCTAATCGGCGGTACGCCACATACCGTCCGTCCTCTTCGAGCTAGCAATGTATCCAGATAGACCACGTCGTGATTAGTTACAAATGGCAGGGTTGGATACTAGATTGCCGGTCGTACCGGAGCATTCTCCTTGACTCCGACCTTTTGTTAGTCTGCACTAAACTGTCCATGTGCTTCGGTGGGCTTACCACACATACGATGCAGCAGCGGTTGGACTGTGACATGCTGTTTGATCAGTTTTGCCTCTCAACTTTCCAAAATACTCTAGCTTAAAAGCTAGGATCAACGCCACCAGATAACACCAACCAACACTAGTCGCTTAAGAATGCTTTGCATTCTGCTGGTATGGTGAACTTTTGCCCGACTCGCATCGTGACACCCTGGGTTTCCGCTGACTTTCTACGCCTTTTTGATGAAGCTCAGTCCATCCCAGCTGGCAGTGAGCATAATGCAGTACGACTCACAACGAGATCGTGAAATCTGGTGGTCTCAAAATGCATCAGAGATGAAACATGCTGCCGCCAAGGGAAATCCCCGCAAGCTTTTTCATCTCATCCGAGTAACCTTTTGGAAGTCGTCGACTGTGAGCGGACCGATTTGTGATGTTGGCGGCTCGCCTGTCCACAGTCTGCAACGATGTCTTATACGTTGGGCGGAGCACTTTGAATCACAGTTTAGCTAGCCTCCAGCGTTGGCTTCTCCCACAGCTGTTCCGGCACACGCCCCGTGGTCTGTTTCGACAGACCCACCTTCTGAGGCAATGATCCACAAGAAAAACCAAGCCCTGGGACGTTACAAAAATCCGTGCTCCGATGGCCTTTCTTCAGCAATATTTGAAGATAATGAGATGGAGCTTGTTAAAGACCTTCAAGTTTCGTTCTACAGGGCCTGGAATTCTGGGCAGGTTCCGTCATTTTGGGGGGAATCGATTGTTGTACCCATCTTCCAGAATGGCCCGCACAATGACTTCCCCGACCATAGAGGTATATGCCTAATCCCGATAGTATCTAAGCTGCTATCGTCTGTCATTCTTCACAGGTTGTACAACAGGCTTGGTAAACAAACTCGCGAGAAAAACTCCGGGTTTCTTACCGGTCGTGGATGCATTGATCAATTCTTCACCCTCCAAAAGCTGTTAGTGCACCGGTACGTCTTCCAAGGACCAATGATCATTGTGTCTCTAGACATTCTCATCGATAGCTTCCGACTCCATCGATAGATTTTCACTATGGCACTGTTTGTTAAGGAGTGGTCTGTATGTGTCAGTCCCCAAAGAGTTGTCGGGTTAGATCTAATGGCCAGCTTTTCGCCGCCCTTTGGTGTTTCCAGTGGAGTACAACAAGGCTGCCCTATATCCCCATTTTTGAATTTTTCCATAGAGGATGCTATACAAAACGCTTTATCTGGACTTCAAATGGTGGGGTTGGACTCCTCCCAGGGAACGGACTTTTTGACTCAGAGCATGCCGACGATATCGCCTTGCTGAACGACAGCGCAACACGTTTCGGATCGTTTGGCGATTGAGGTGTCCTGATATGGTATGTGCTTTGCGCCTTCACATGCCTCAGTATGGTCGGGAGTGAGTGTCCCGGGCTTCGAGTTGGCTACTTGTCCTTTATACCTCTCGAAATACTCCCA